ACACACAAGCAAGCTGGGTACCCCCTCCTGCTGCCCCCCCAATCCTGTCTGAGCTGCCGGGAGGGAGATCTTGGCTGGAATTTGGGGTGGGAAGCTCCTTGGCCCCCCTGCAGCCAGGAAGCAGTGCCCGCCCGCCCACTCTCCGGGGATCCCCCTTTCCCTACCTCTTCCCTCCACCCGTCCAGCCTCATTAGTGAAGAAGAAGAAGCCTGTTTTAGCTTCACAGAAGCTCATCTCCGTGCTGTCGCCTCCCATCAGAGTGGGGCATCTCGCCGTGCGGAGAAGGAGTGGCACCTGACGGAGCCCTTGCTGGGAGGTTGGCATCTTGACAGCTTGGAAATAAACAGGGAGAGGAGGGGAGGGGGGCAGTTTGCTCTTCGTCCTGGAAATAGATGAACAGTTGGGAAACAGAGGTGACGGAGGGGGCTGTGGGCCGCCGTTCTGGCTTCCTGTGCTTCCCATCCAGGGACTCCCCCTGCACTTCTGGGCTGTCCTTCCATCAGCGCTGCAAGGGAGACCCCCCCCCGCCTTGCACTGGGAAGGCCGGGGGGTGGGTCTACATTTGCTGCCTGTGCCGTCAACAGGCCCAGCTCCTAGAGTCCGTCTGCTCTCCGGGTGTTGCTTGGGGCGGGGGCGGGGGGGCCACAGGGCCAGGAAACCAGGGCGAAGGCTAGTGCGGGGGCCAGCCAGCGTGCCACGTGGTCCCAAGACCACATCCAGAGGCTGAGGCGAGGAAGGGGCCGAGGCCGAAATGGGACGGGAGCAGGCAGAGGGGCCCGTGCAGAGGGTGGATAGGAAGAGCTCAAGCTGCTCGCTGAGCCCCCCTCACTCCCGACCCCCCCTTCTTTTCTTAGGAATGCTAGGGGCATAAACAGGCAGCAGTGGAAGGCCAGCTTGGGCTTGCAGGATGGATGGAAAGAGGTGGATGAGAGAACTGGGAGGGGATCTGCACCCCAAAATCATCCCAGCTCCTCTGTGTGGCAGGCTGAGCTTTGTAGTCAGTTGCCACTTTTCTGTTGGAGGGCTCAGGCGCCCTCCCCGGCTCTATGGCAGGGAACCCCACCTGCCTCACCGTCAGCGAAATGCTGTGGGTCCAGGGCTGGGGGCGAGAGGGACTCGGCAGAGTCTCCCACCCCAACCCCAGACTATCCATGCCAGGATGCCTGAGGGCGGAACCGTGGCAGCAACGGGGGTAACGAACTGTTAGATCTTGGGCTTGCGTGTCGCTCCACGCCCGAGCGGCTGTCGGGATCCTTGCCACCTTTCCCTGCATTCCTCCTCCCACCTGCAGTTTGCAGTCAGAGTGCGTCAAAGTGGCCCGGAAGCTCCCTCTCGGGGACCATCGTCCCTCAGGACCCTTGTGCCTTTGGTGGGGTGGCTGGGAAGAGATCCTGCCACCTGGGGTCGCGTTGGCACTTTGCTTGTGGGTTTATGCTTGTGCCACATGTTGTGGAGAAAGGGGGCTCTCCTGGCTGAGCCCCACAGGCAGGACAGGCAGGCAGGCAAGGTGTGCGTTCCTGCGAAGGAAGGAATATGGCTCCAGGAGAGAGTGTCCGCCTGCCGGGCCATGGGACAATCCATCACGCCAGTGGCAAGGGGCCCTCCTGCGGTTGGCAAAACAAAATTCCAGTGTGAGGATAGTAAAAGGTCACACTTGGCATGAGTTAGTGCTGTAGGGGGGGAAGCAAAATGTGTGCAAGGCGAGCAACCGAGCAGAAAGGGAGGGAGGATGGCACCTGGGAGACCGCAGCCATCCGTTGAGCCGGGGGCCAGACTTCCTTGTTGGCTCTCGGCTCTCCCCGTCAGTCTCCCCCAGCCCCGAAAAAGACAGGTCGGCTCAGAGCGTGGCATGCCCTGATGTGGTTTTATCCACGTAGCCAGCAGCGAGTGGTTGGGTTGTCAACCTGTCTGCCGAGGGGGGGGGCGTTTTTCGGGAGGAGCCCCCACCCTCTTTTGCTGCTACGAAGGGAGGGTGATGCCACCTGGATCGCCCAATGGACCGGCCCCCTTGCCCAGGGGCCGACCAGCGTTGGAAAAGCAGCCTCCGGACATTTGTGACTGGGACCCAAACCAAGGGAAGGGGCCAGGAGTCAAAAAAGCCATGTGTGTGTGCGCTGGGGGGGGGGTGTAGGATGGCTGGGGGCCCTTCCTCCACTGAGCCTCCTGGTGCCTCCTTCCCTGCAGGACATGGTCCGCCGTGGAGAGATCATCGACGATGACATGGAGGACGAGTTCTACCTCCGCCGCCTGGACGCTGGCCTCTTTGTGCTCCAGCTGATCTGCTACATCATGGCGGAGATCTGCAATGCCAACATT